TGTGTGTTTTGTGAGTGAGCGTGTGTGTGTGTGTTTTGTGAGTGAGCATGAGTGTGTATGTATGTAAGTGAGAGTGTCTGTCTCTGTGTGTGTTTGTGAGAGAGAGTGTGTGTGTGTGTGTGTGTGTGTGTGAGGGTGTCTGTGAGGGAGTACGTGTGTTTGTGTGTTTGTTAGACTGTGTGAGAGAGTGTGTGTAACTGAGTGTATGTGTGTGTGTGAGTGAGTGAGGAGAGTGTGTTTTTAAAAGTCTGTGTGTGAAAGAAATTCTGTGTCTGTGTACATGAGTGTGTGCATGAGTCTGCTTATGTGGGTGTGTCTGAGAGTGCGTATATTATATGAGTGTTAGTCTGTGTGAGAAAGTGTGTGTGTCTGTGTCTGTGTGACAGAGAGTATGCGTGTATATGAGAGTGTGTCTGTTTATGTGTAAGAGAGTGTGTGTCTGTGAGAGTGTGTGCATGTCTCAAATAGTGTGTGCACATGTGTGAGCGTTTTCACGTGTGAGTGTGTGTGAAATAGAGTGTGCATGCGTGTGTGTGTGTATGTGTGCACGTCTGTGTGTGAAATAGAGTGTACGTGCATGTGTGGGTGTGTGCATCTGTGAGAGATAGTTTTTGTGTATTAGATTGTGTTTCCGTGTGTGTGAGAGTGTGCGTGTGTCGATGAGGGAGAGGGATCGTTTGTGTCAGTATGTGTGTGTGTGTGAGTATCTGTATGTAGGAGAGAGAAAGAGTGTGTGTTTGTGAGTGTGTGTGTGCATGTGAGAGAGAGTGCATGTGTGTGTGTCTGTGTGTGAGAGAACATGTAATTTAATTTGGTATAGAATCCCTACAGTTTGGAAGCAGGTCATTCAGCGCATTGAGTTTACACCAACCCTCCAAAGAGCTTCCCCCCCAGACCCACCCTATCCCAGTACCTCTATATGTCCCATGGCTAACCCACCTAGCCTGCACATCCCTGGACACTGTTGGTAATTTCGCATTGCCAATCCACTCAACCTGCACATCTTTCGACTGAAGGAAGGAAATGGAGCACCCAAAGAAAATCCACGTAGACATGGGAAGAATGTGCAAACTCCACAGTTGCCTGAGGGTGGTAATGAACCCGGGTCCCTGGCTCTTTGAGGCAGCAGTGAGCCTGTGTGCATGTGTGTCTGTGTCTGTGTGCATGTGAGAGAGAGTGTCTGTGTGTACATGTCAGTGTGTGTATGTGTGAGAGAGAGTGTCTGTCTGAGAGAGAAAGTGCGTGTGTGTGAGCTAGAGTGTGTGTGCATGTTTGAGACTGTGTTGTGTGTTCATGTGTGTCTGTGAGAGAGGGTGTGTGTGTATCTGTGTCTGTGTTTGTGAGAGAGAGAGAGCGTGAAAGTGAGTTTGTGTGTAAATGTGTGTCCCTGTGAGAGTGATCCATACCATGTAAAGATACACACATGAAAGGTGAAGCTGCCATAGTCCAAGAGAGATTACGGAGAGACATAAGACTAGGGGTTTAACATGAGGATCAACACTCTTCAGGCAAGGGGAGACTTGGAGAAAGAAAATCCTTCACGTTAACCTCAGCTGACATGGGAATTATGCCAGCGCCTTCAGCATTCGCCATAAGCGAATATACCATGAGTGGCGCTGCCATTTTTTTCACGCGAAGGCTTTGCGCGTGAAGCTGTTCTTGTACAATGACCTGTTCTCCCACTTTCCTCCCTCCGAAGGTGAGCGAGAGCTGCCACCACCGATCATCGCGCTGTATTCCCACGATGGCATCTTTGAGAAAGGCAGCTCTGCCAGGATGGAGTGCAGAACACCAGCCTCTTATACAGGCAGCACATTTTACTTGGTGCGAGACGGCACAAGTGCATACATTGCCCAGCGGACTGTTGTGAGCAGAGAAGACACGGCTACCTTCGAGCTCGTCAACCTTACAGTTCGACATCAAGGGGACTATCGATGCTTCTATAAGAGAAAGGAGTCCGGCTTTTGGAAGGATTCCAGACTCAGCACTCCAGTGCGGATAACAATCCATGGTAGTGTCCTCTGATAGATAACTACCCACGGCTCAGAAATCCTCACTTATTCAAAATACCGAACCTCGATCTAGTCTTTGGATAGTCCAGGCAGGATTATTCCCAAACATTCCCCACTCCCGGCTCAAGATTAGAGAGAGAGTCCTGAAGCAAATGAGAGGTCCCGAGCCCGAATATCATGTGCCGGTCCATCTGCACTAAACCCCCTTTCCTGCACTTTCAAGCACTTCAAGTGTTTGTCCAAGTACTTTTTTGAAGGTTGTGAGGTTTCTCGCCTCAACTACCCTCCCAGGCAGTGCATTCCACAGCACTGCCACACTCCAGGCGGCTTATTTTACCCCAAATCCTCCTCTAAACCTCCTCCCTTTCACTTTAAAGTGATGCTCCTTATTGTCCTGTGGATTAAAAGGGAACAGCTGCTTCCTATCCATCCTATCTCATAATCTTACACACCTCAAACAGGCTCTCCCCTCAACATTCTCTGCTCCAAATAAAACAACCCATAGTGGCAGGAGAGTTGTTTGGATATGTTGCCTGCAAAGGAGTACTCAAACCTTTTGTCCAGGTATTCCCTTTTGTGATAGACAAAAGCTAGGGAACCAAATCAGAACTCAATTAAACAAGCCCTTCTTTATTTAACCCTGTAAGTATCAACGCTCAATATAAAGCATACATTCATTGCAACATTTACTTCACACTTCATTTAATTTCAACTTTAATTCACTTCATTTAACTTCACCTTACTTTACTTAACTCACATTTGACCCTAACTTGATAAGTTTGACGTGAATCATATACGACCCTGATTCAAATGAATTGGCCAATGTTGTTCTCCAGGTAGGTGTCACCTCATGGTTCTTTGTTCTCTTTGAAAGTAACTTCAAGCTTCTCAGATATGGTCTGGCTGGTTTCTTCTGAAAAAGCCCTTTATTCACTTATTTGAAAATGTACTCCTTTCCTCCGGCACTCAATCAATAAAATGATCAAATCCTGATCACATTGTTCAATACCAGCAAATGGAATTTACTGGTAAACATCTCCTAAATGCTTACACTAAGCCTTAAACAGTGACATTGTCTTAAACAGTATATGGTAAAAGTATACCAGTATGTCTAAAAACACTATGAAACTTGCCTTACTCGATCAACACAGGAAACTACAGTAAAGGTGGATCCTGGCTGCTGTTTTACCGAGTTCAGAGTTGAAACTAGCTTGACAAAATTCCCAGCATGCACAATTGTAGCTCTTAACCAGCCTGGTAGCCATTTCTGCTATTGACCACCTGATCGCAGATAGGTGGAGACAGAGCTCAGAGAGACAGTGATGCAAGGGCTGGACAGACAGGAAGATTTGTTTATAGGAAGCCAGGACAGAAAAGAAGCTGAATATGTGCTCATGAGTGCTGAGAGGAGCAGAGAGTAAGTTGGCTGTGCTGTAAGCAGTACAGGGCCTGGGGCTATTGCGGGCTGGGTAAAGGACATAGAACGAGATGTAATATTCTGAAATAATTGAACTCAATGTTGAGATCTGAAGGCTGCAGGATCCTAAACGAGAGATTAGATGCTGTTTATAGGCAAGAGTCATAGAGTCATACAGCATGGAAACAGACCCTTCGGTCCAACCTGTCCATCGCAACCAGACATCCCTATCTGACCAAGTCCCATTTGCCAGCATTTGGTCCATATCCCGCTGACCCCTTCCTTTTCATTTACCCATCTTTTTAAATGTTGCAATTGTACCTGCCTCCACACTTCCTCTGGCAGCTCATTTCATACAAGCACCAACTTCTGCGTGAAAAAGTTACCTGTCTCATCTCTTTAAAATCTTTCCCCTCTCATCTAAAACCTATGCCCTCTAGTTTTGTAGTCCCGCACCCTAGAAAAAAGACAATGATAAAAGAAGGAGAGTAACACAGTGGGGGTGTTTAAGGGGCAGGCAATTGGAAGCTCAGGGTCAGTTTTTACGGATGGGATGTAGGTACTCAGTCCATGGGTGTCGCTGTTCCTTGGTCTTTGACCCACCGCCATTTAAGGATCAGCAATGGTAGTGCAGGTGATGAGTGGCTCGAGGGGAGTTTGCAAGAGGAGGTGTCCCCATGTGTCTGCTGTTCTTTTACATAAAGGTGAGCTATGGCACAGAGGGAAGCTATTCGGCCCATCGTATTTACTTCAATTCTATCCCCTTGGTGCCAATTTCCTGCCTTTACCCCTCCCCCTACCCTCAGTGTCCCTGCACACTCTATGTCTATCCAAATGTGTCTCTCCATTGAACTTGCCTACATCAGTTTTCCAGTCAGTGCATTCCATGCCCTGACTACTCGCTGGGTGTAAAAAGCTTTTTCTTCACTTCCCCCAACTTACACAACGCTTTTAAATCCCATTCAGTATGCAATGGTTTTTACATTTGTTAATCTTTTTCAGATCAATCCTTGGAAAACCAATCCCTAGGAGCAGCAGGTAAAGAGAACATGTCAAAATGCAAAGATTATTTTGAAGCGTAACAATTTTGTTTTGTGTCTCACCCTTTTCCTATCCTTTGCAGACAAGTGAAAGTCCTTTCTCTGCTTTAGTCTCCACTTAACTGCACTGTCTATGAGCTCATATATTTCCAACGTTAAGAGATTGCACGTGACTAGGTGGATTTATGAAGTCAGAGCAGGAATGCCTCATTCAGCCTGCTTCTCAAATCAGTATCTCATATGTCAGTAATCCAGCTCCTTTTTCCGTCTCTCCCCAGTCTACCTGGATGCAATTTTTAGTCAAAATATTCTATCTCTTCCTCAGAATGATTTACTGCACTGACAGTTGCAGTTGAGGGAGGTATATAACAACAATCCCCCCATGCCTAGCCCATAGGGAAGATGGTTGTAGTTGTTGGAGGTCTGTCATCTGAACTCCAGGACATCTCAGTCAGGAGTTCCTCAGGGTAGTGTCCTAAACCCAAACATCTTCAGCTGCTTCATCAATGACTTTCCATACATCGTAAGGTCAGAAGTGGAGATGTTTGCTGATGATTGCACAATGTTCAGTACCATTTGTGACTCCTCAGCTGCTGAAAGAGTCCCTGTCCGAATGCAATAAGATCTGGACAATATCCAGGCACAGCCTGACAAGTGGCAAGTAACATTTGTGCCACACAAATGCCTAGCAATGACCATCTCCTATAAGAGAGAATCTAACCATCATCCCTTCACATTCAAAAGTGTTATCATCACTGAATCTGCCCACTATCAACATCCTGGGGGTTACCATTGAGAGAGAATATAACCATCACCTCTTGATATTATCACTGAATTGCCTAACGATCAACATCCTGAAGGCTACTATTGACCAGAAACTCAACTGCATTCATTACAAAATACATTGGCTACAAGAACAGGTCAGAAGTGGGAATCCTGCAGTGAGTAATTCACCTTCTGACTCCCCACCAAAGCCTGACCACCATCGATAAGGCATGGAATACTCCCCACTTGCCTGGATGAATGCAACGCCAACAACACTCAAGAAACACCACACCATCCAGGGACAAAGCAGCCCCTGCTTGATTAGCATCACATCTATAAATATCCATTCCCTCCCCCATTGACACTGAGTATCAGTAGTGTTTACCATCCACAAGATGCACTGCAGAAATTCACCAAAGATCCTCAAACAGCATCTTCCAAACACACGACATCTGGAAGGATGAGGGAAGCAGATATGTGGGAACATCACCCCCTGCAAGTTTCACTCCTAGCCACTCATCATCCCGACTTCAAAATATTTCAGCTGTTCCTTCAATGTCGCCGGGTCAAAGTTCTGGAATTCCCTCCTCACAGCACATGGACTGCAGCAGTTCAAGAAGGCAGCTCACCACCATCTTCTCAAGTGGGCAGCTAGGGACAGATGTAATAAATGCTGGGCCTAGCCAGCGACGCCCACATCCCATGAGGGAGTTATTAGAAGCTTGTTGTTTGACAGTGACTGCCAAATGTAGTCAACAATTTCAAATTTAATTTCTAGCTTTGCCTCTTGCAATACAATGTGCTGACATTGCCTAGCTGGTGTACTGTTATTTTATTAACCATGCATTTTCTAAATGCTGTTAGTGTTCAGGAACATCTGGGTACTAGTTGGCATGGTTGCAGGAGGAGTTGTATTGATCCTCATTATAATCGCAATGATGTGGTACATCTACAGAAAGAGAGGTGAGTACGATCATTCTAAGATCAACTTTACTAAGTATGATCAACACAATTTATAACATTGCCACACAACATTACTGTACAGTGTATCAGTGGTTAGCACTGCTGCCTCACAGTGCCAGGGACCCGGGTTCGATTCCAGCCTCAGGTGACTGTCTGTGTGGATTTTGCATATGCTCCCCGTGTCTGCGCGGGTTTCCTCTGGGTGCTCTGGTTTCCTCCCACCGTCAAAGATGTGCAGGCTAGGTGGGTTGGCCATGCTAAATTGCACATAGTGCCCAGGGATGTTTAGGTTAGGTGGCTTAGACATGGGAAATTAGGGGAATGGGTCTGGGTGGGATGCTCTTAGGAGGGGCAGTGTGGACTTGTTGGGCCAAATGGCCTGTTTCCACACTGTAGGGATTCTGTGATCCTCTATGACCTCTAGGGAACCCCTCAGGGAAAACACATGGGAACATAACATCCTCCTGAGATCCTTGTAGCATTCAGGTCAGATTTGCTGTATCAGTATGATGTTGTGGAAATGAACATAATTAATTACGGATGCCAAATCAATAATAACATAGTTGCTGCAAAACAATATTCTGTTAAAACAGACAACAAAACAAAATTGTTCAACAGTGGGTATCAAACAAAACTCAGCCAGTCTTTCAATCAGCTGTTCCCCCAACGATGTTAATTCCTTCCATGATATTGAAATGTCCAAATAATGTCGGCATTTTTTTAGGGTATCTATGTTCTGTATGCAGCCCAGCTACTTTTGTACTCATTATATTTTTAAAAAAGAAATCTTGAAGTATGTGATCGCACTGGGAGAAGGTGCAGAGAGAGATTGATCAGGATGTTACCTTGGATGCTGGAGAGTTTCAGTGATGGGAGAGAGATTGGACAGGCTGAGGTTGTTCTCCTTAGAGCAGAGGAGATTAACAGGGTGACATGATTGAGATGTATGAAGTGATGAGTGACATAGATAGGGTAGACTGGAAGAGACGTCTCCTTGGTGCAGGGATCAATGACTGGGGTTGGGGGGGGGCGTGGTGCGTAGATTGAAGACAAAGGCAAGAGACTTAAAGTGAATGTGAGGAAAAATGTTTTCACCCAGAGGGTGGTGGGAATTATGGAACTCACTGCCTGTAAGAGTGGGACAGGCAGAAACTCTCATCACATTGAAGAAGTATTTTGATGTGCACTTGTGATGCAAAGGCGCTACGGCCAGTGGTGAGAAAATGGGATCAGAGAATAGTGAGGTGGTTGTTTTCAATCAGCACAGAGTTGATGTTACTTTATGATGCTATGTCTCTCTATGACTCTCTATGTCTCTGTAAGGCTCTCTGCATTTCTGTCTCTGTATGAATCTGTATGTCTCTCTGTAACTCTGTCTGTCTCTGTGGCTCTCTATGTCTCTATGAAACTGCATCACTATCTATGACTCTATCTCTATCGCTCTTTAACTCTGACTTTCTAACACTTTTATAACTGTCTATGTCTATGATTCTCTGTTACTATACAATTCTCTCTGACTCTCTCTCCTTCACTCAGTCACTCTTTGTTATCTTCTGTCACTCTCTACTTCTGTCTATCATTCTGACTCTGTATGACATTGTCTTTCATTCTTTATCACTTCCTATCATTCTCTATCACTCTATGATACTTTATTACTCTCTATGACTTTCTCTGACCCTACAATTCAGCTCTATCTCTCCCTATTTCTGTCTATGACTCTCTGTCACTTTCTATGACCCTCTGTGACTTTCTGTGACTCTCAATGACTCTGAGAATTTTTAACTCTCTATGATGTGAATTAAAATGGGCCCCTTTTATATTAAATGCAAAATTAACAATCCCACAAACCTAAGGACATTTGTGGGCAGAGTCATCCTTCAGAGACTCACCATTTCTCACTCAGAGTTGCTGAGATTCAAAGAGCAGAAAAAGGTTGTTCGACTCAGCCTATCTGTGCTGGTCAAACACAACCACCTCATTACTTACTTATTCCATTCCCCAACACTTGGCATGTAGTTTTGGCATGACATGTTCACATCTAAATCCTTCTTCAATGTGATGAGGGTTTCTGCCTGTACCACCCCTTACAAGCAGTGAGTTCCAGATCCCCCACCAGCCTCTGGCTGGGAAGGTTTCTTCAGAATTGAAGTGTGTATTATTTAACACTGACACTAATGCTGCTATCAACTTCCTGTCTTGTAGCCATATCCCAGAGACAAAATGAAGGGTAAGAAACATTTACTTGTACAACTGAAAGCTCAAGCTTGTGGATTGACTTTTACCAACGTACCTGCACGGGAATTTCAGGGTGTGGAATTGTCTTTGATGCTGAAATCAGGGGAGGTTGATGGATGCTTATTTAATCCCAGATTTTATTGCATACGGAAAGGTTTTCCTTTGATATTGAAATCTCATGCAATTGGAATTGATGTTTCAAAAGCAAAATGCACATTTTGGTAAAAGTGCACTGTAATAAGGGAATACTTTCTTGTTAAAAGAGAGATGAATCAATGTGCATCATAGGCATGTAAGTGTTAAAAGGCTGCAGGTAATACAGGGTCTATTTGAAAGCTGAAACCATATCTCAGACGCTCAGATACCATTCTGTGTTAGATCACAGCCTGAAATGTAAGCAATCAAATGGATGTTAGCACCATGCGTGGACAGTTTCCTGCAGTTGTTTTTGGAATTTGCTCCTTGCTCCCATTATATAAGGGTAGGAGGAGACTATTCAGCACCTCAGGAGCCTGCTCCCCCACTTCATACAATTGTGGCTGATCCCATCTTGGCCTCAACTCCACTTTCCTGCCCTCACTCCCTTTAACCCATCACTCATTTAAAAAATCTGGCTGTCTCCTACTTAAATTTATTCAGTTCCCAGCATCCTTTGCACACTCTAGGGGAGGGGTGAATTCCCACAGATTCACGACCCCAACCCTGAGAGAAGTCATTCCTCCTCATTTCCATTTTCAATCTTCCCCACCCTCCCTTATCCTGAAACAATGACCTTGAGTTCTATTTTGCCCCACATAACGTAATATTCTTTCTATGTCTACTTTGTCAATCTCCCATTTAGTGTCTGATGTACCTCCCATTCTTCTCAACTCCAGACAGTATAAGCCAAAATTACTCAATGTCTCAGATCCTTTGGTCCAACTTATCCATGTCAACCTGACATCCCAATCTGACCTAGTCCCATTTGCAGCATTTGGCCCATATCCCTCTAAACCCTTCCTATTCATGTATCCATCCAGACACCTTTTAAATGTTGTAATTGTACCAGCCTCCACCATTTCCTATGGCAGTTCATTCCATACACACACCATCCTTTGCATGGCCAAGTTGCTCCTTAGGTCCCTTTTAACTCATTCCCCTCTCACCTTAAACGCATGCCCTGTAGTTTTGAACTCACCTACTCTGGGGAAAAGGCCTTGGCTATTCACCTTGTCTGTGCCCCTCATGATTTTGTAAACCTCTATAACGTGACTTCTCAGCCTCCAACACTTCAGGGAAAAATGTTCCAGCCCATCTAGCCTCTCCCTATGACTCAAACACTCCAGTCTTGGGAACATCTTAGACTCATAGACCACAGGAATAGACCCTTTGGTCCAACTCTCCCATGCCAACCTGACATCCCAATCTAACTTGTCCCATTTGCTAGCATCTGGCCCATATCTCTCTAAACTCTTCCTCTTCATGTATCCATCCTGACACCTTTTAAATGTTGTAATTGTACCAGCTTCCACCACTTCCTCCAGCGGACACGTTCCACCCTCTGAGTGAAAAAGTTACCCCTCAGTTTCCACCTCTCACCTTCAAGCTATGCCCTCAAGTTTTGGATTCCCCTTACCCTCAGCTTCCTATGCTCCAGAGAAAAAAGTTCCAGCTTATTCAGCCACTCGCTATAAGTTAAACTTTCCATTCCCGGCAACAACTTTATAAATCTTTTTTGCACCCTCTCAAGTTTAACGACATCCTTCCTATAGCAGTATGCCCAGAATCATGTGCAGTATTCCAAAAGTGGCCTCACACATAGCTGCAACATGAAGTCCCAACTCCTGTACTCAATGTTCTGACCAATAAAGGCAAGTGTGTCAAACACCTTCTTCACTACTTTGTCTACCTGTGATGCCACTTTCAAGAAACTATTCACCCACCCCCTCGGTCTCTCTGTTTGACAACACTGCCTAGGGCCTTACCATTAACTATATAAGTCCTGCCCTGATTTGTCTTACAAAATTGCAACACCTTGCATTTATCTAAATTAAACTCCATCTGCTACTCCTCAGCCCATTGTCCCAGTTGATCAGATTATTTTTTTAGTCTTAGATAATTTTCTTCTTTGTCCACTGTACCACTAACTTTAAAAAAAATCTTCGATTATACAGCTTCATTTTATAGGTTTGAATGGGGAAGGCGATGTCTGAGTGGTATTATCTATGGATTCTGGATGCCCAAACACAAATAAAAGCCAAAAGAACTGCGGATGCTGTAATTCAGGACAAAAACAAAGTTGCTGGAAAAGCTCACCAGGTCTGGCAGCATCTGTGAAGGAAGAAACAGAGTTAACATTTTGAGTTGGGTGACACTTCCTCAGAACCTTCTGAGGAAGGGTCACCGGACCCGAAATGTTAACTCTATTTTTCCCTTCACAGATGCTGCCACACGTGGTGAGCTTTTCCAGCAACTTTGTTTTTGTATCCAAACTCAAATAATGTTCTGGGGACCTGGGTTCCACCTAGGAAAGGTGGAATTTGAATTCAGTAAAAATGTGGAATAAAACTCTAATGATTGCCGTGGCAAATGCAGGGAAAGCCCATCCCGGTCATCTTGGGAGGAAATCTGCCATCTCTATCTGGTCTGGCCGCTATGTGACCCCAGACCCTAGAGCAATGTGGTTGACTCTTAACTGCCTTCTGAGGCTGTTAGGCACAAGAAATAAATGCTACACCCACCCAGCAATGTTAACATCCCATCCGTGAGTAAAAACACACACACACAAACACACATGCGCACGCACACACAGACACGCATACACACCCCCCTTCAATGAGCAAAAGATGGAATTGTATAGTTATAGAGGATGTCATTTGGCCCATTGGGTCTGCACTGGCAAATCTGCACTCTCCCACAGTTGGCCCATAACCTTGAACACCACGATACTTCAAGTGCTCAACTATATAGTTTTGTTTTGAACTGTGAGGTTTCCTGCCTCAGTTACCCTCTCAGGGTAATTTTGTGGTAAAAAAAAAAGGAGCTGAACTTGATTAAAAGACTTCCCCCTGTGAGACTGTGACAATGAGTGGGCAAAATTTGAAAATAATCCTTCCATGGGAAGGCCAGCTGTGTTTGCAGCTCATGGTGTACCAAGTTTCCATTTACAAGTTTGCTGATGTCATAGTCGGTCGGATCTCAAACAACAACGAGACATGAGCTAGGAAAGAGATTGAGTGTTTACCAACATCATGTAAAGAGAACAAATCTCTTCCTCAATGTCAGCAAATGAAGGAGCTAGTCATCGACTTCAGGAAGTGGAGTGGAAGACATTCCCCTGTCTGTGTTAGTGGGGCTGAGGTGGAGGTGATCGAGAACTTCAAGTTCCTTGGTGTAAATATCACCAACAATCTGTCGTGATCCATCCATGTCAATTCTACAGTCAAGAAGGCACAGATCTACTACATCAGAAGGCTGAGGAAATTCACAATGATTCTTATCAATTTTTACAGACGCACCATAGAAAGCATCCCATCTGGATGCATCACAGTTTGATACGGCCACTGCTGTGCCCAATACCACAAGAAATCACAGAGTTGTGAACACATCCCTGTTCATCATGAAAAACAACTTTCCTTCCATTGACTCCATCTATACTTCCCACTGTCTCAGAAAAGCAGCCAACATAATCAAAGACCCCTCCCATCCCGGTTATACTTTCTTCCACCCACTTCCTTCAGGCAGAAGATAAAAAGGTTTTAGAACACATACAAACAAATTCAAGAACAACTTCATCCCTGCTGTTATCAAACTTCTGAACGGACCTCTCATATATTAGAGTTACTCATTCTCTGCACCTTCTCCGTAACTGTAACACAATATTCTGCATTCTGTTCCGTTACCCTGGTGAACTTAGGTAAGGTATGATTTGTCTGGTTAGCATGCAGAACAATACTTCTCCCAGTGTCTCTGTTCATTTGACAATAATTGAATCAAATCAAACTTTTTAAAGAAAGATCAGTTGTATTCTTGCCCAACAATTTTCAGCTTGTAAATCCTCTGAAGCAAACTTAACAAGCAATTTTTTTTTTCTTTTTGTTTAGTTCCAACCTCTGGACTGCATTTGACCACAACACCGACAATTGTAAGTCCATGCAAGTGCAAAAGATAAGTTTGTGGTGGGTGATAGGAATTTGAGAAACGCCTTATAAATTTTACAGACTGCCCTTGTAAATTTTCTCAGTTTCTTGGTCTGACCTTCATGCCTTTGCTATTAATATGTGCAGACATTACAAGGAATACAGAGTTGACAAGAAGAAACATTTCCCTCTTCATGGAAGGATCAATGATGAGGGTGGAGTTGGGTGGGGAGGGGTAGAATGAAAAAAATTGAAGGTAAGGAGCAGGAGGTTTAAAGGGGGTATGGGGGAAAGGTTATCACCCAAAGGGTGGTAAGGAATCTGGAACTCACTGCCTGTAAGGGTGGTAGAGGCAGAAACCCTCAATACATTGAAGAAGGATTTAGATGGGCACTTGTGATGTCAAGGCTATGGGTCAAGTGCTGGGGAAATAGGATTAGAGAATAGTGGGGTGGTTGTTTTTGACTGGTGCAGACTTGATGTGTCGGAGGGCCTTTTCTACGCTGTGGACCTCAAATACACTTATCATAGAAGCATTTTGATTACTAAGGTGGATAATTTGGAGGCATGACCATTTAAATACATAGCCATATAGGTCAAAGGGAACCAATGTTGCTTAAAATGTACCAGGCAATTCCAATAAAGGATATTGATGAATGTATCATCAGTGGAGTATAACATGGGCAAATGTGATGTGGAGGTGCCGGTGTCAGACTGGGGAGGACAAGGTGAAAAATCACACGACAACAGGTTATAGTCCAACAGGTTTATTTGAAGACACAAGCTTTCACAGTCTCACTCCTTCTTCAGGTGTCAGTGAGATAGGTAGCATCAGACACAGAATTTATAAGCAAAAAATCAAAGGATCATAAAACTGATGTGGTGTTGAATGAACCTAAGATAGCTGTCAAATCTTTAATCAGTTACAAAAGGATTATTATGCAAATTCTCGAATTTCTTTCAAGTCACTGCCCCGAGGTTTTATCAGTTCCCTCCGACAATAGGTCAGACAATGCATTGTGAGGCCTTGTTTAGAAACTGGCTGTGTATCAACTTGGACTCAGATTGGTTTTATTTCCCAAAGTAGGAATTTATAAAATCCCAAATTGACAGTGTACAAATTGTGTGCTTTTTGAACAAAATAAAATGTATCTGCAATTACAAATCTGCAAATGCAAATTCACCCCAGAGAATTGTGTGTGTGTGTATGTGTGTGTGTGTGTGGGTGGGTGGGTGGGAGAGAGAGAGAGAGAGTGTGCGTGTGAGGGGGAGAGAGTGTGTGTGTGTGTGTGTGTGTGTGTGTGTGAGGGGGGGAAGAGAGAGAGTGTGTGTGAGAGAGTGTGTGTGAGAATATGTGTGTGT